GGGGGGGGGGGGAAAAAAAAAAAAAAAAAAATCAAACGAGTAATATTTAAACCTATCATAAATATCTTGATCCATGAGTATTCAAAAGGATTTAGGGTCAAAAGTGTTAAGGAACTTTCTACGGAGGACGTGTTAAGTGACTTAGGGAACAAATCAGGATTAAATCACGCCCAGGAGAGTTTCTCTTGAGACAGTGAATGTCTGTACATGCCACAGCTATTTTCAAAAGAGAAAACAGACCTTCAGCATCTCCCTCTTCCCCCTCAGGGAGACAGGAATCACTTGCCTGATTCTGCTGCTCAGGCAGGAAGTAGAACATGCCCCTCCAGAGTCCCCACCTTGCACTGAAGGGAAACACAGACTGACTGTGGGCAGCCTAGATGAGCCAATCAGGGCTACCCTATTCACAGATGCCAGACAGACTAAGGTCAGAGCACACTAAGATGTGGACACAGCATCGTTGCCACCGCTCCCCACCCTGCCCAACCCCAGCTGCACAGTATTAGGACTGCAGGATCTCCACTCTTCAGGGCCTCATCATTTGAATGTCCGTACATGAGGCTCTGGGTAAATTTCTCTATCAGGAGAACAAAACTGGGAGAATTCTCCCAGATTATGTGGATATATGTACACAGCCTTTGTAGCTCTTCAGTTCTTCTGGATCACACCCAGAATGCTCACAATGAAGTACAGTATGTGTGTTTCATACACTCTAAAAACTAAGCAAATGTAATTCAGTAATGCATCAGGTGCACATCAATAACATACCTGAGACAGAGAGCTTATTAACATATGACTAGAGGCCTCTCAGGAAGATACAAAGTATCCATTCTGGGGCTTAGATCCAGCCCAAAGCGTACACTGCAGTGAGTTGTAGCTCACTGCAGCACTCCCAAGCACAGTGCAGAGATGGTACTAAAATACCCTTGGATCACTAAGAACATTGGTTTTTAGTGAAAATTAGGTATCAGTCATGGAGGAGCTTAAACTGTTGATATAGGCAATGATACCCTGGTATTCTGCCCTTCCATAAGTCTAATATCAATATAAACAAGTTTGCCATGCTTACCTGGCATGACTCCTTTAGAGCTGCTAAAGGTTGTTGTTGGGATGCTGAAGAAGTGACATCTTTTAGCCACACCTCCTTTTCATTTAGACTCTTCTCAAGTTCACCCATTTCCCTAAAATAAGTGTTTATATCTTCTTGGTACTTAATCTTTCTTGCCAATTCCTCCAAGTGTCCAACCACTTCCTTCCATTCTGCCAGTATTTTCTCCAGTGAATTTTTCACATCTTCAGCAGAAAGTCCCTCTAAGTAGATTAAGGAAACAAACTACTATGACATTAACTGAAATGCATCTTAATTTACAAATATCTAACCATTCCACTCTTAAGATATACAAACGTATGTCTACATCAAGAAGTCCACAATTTTACTTTCAACACAGTCATCCCTAAAGCTCACCCTGTCTCTAACAACTGTGACAAGCATTTTGATTTCCAAATTAATATTATAAATCATGATTCAGTGAAACATTCTCCTTTCACTCACTTCCTCATGATCAACAATGATAAGCTGTCACCTGATTTAATTTTAAATAACAAATAGTATATCTTCAATTCAACACTTAAACATTTAAAATATTAAATAAAGCTAGCACAAGGACTTTTTATTTAGTCCTTTACCTGTATTGCTCTAGCGTTATTGTTGAAAGAGCCAAGCAGCAAATTGAAAAGCATCAGTCCCTAACCACATCCCAAGGCCACTAAATTCCTTGAAAGGGTAGATGGGAGTTTTGTAATGTCTGGCTAGAAAAATGGGGAACAATGCTGAACTATGTTACATTGTAGACAAATGTGATTAACAACCAGAAGGTAACATGAATAGCTGCAAAAGTAACCTGACAAACACAAGGTTATTGTCAGCCACAAAGATTGCATAAATCATTTTTCTTTCCATGCCAGAATTGGTATCTTAAAGATTAAGTAAGTTTGAATAACCAGTTCAATACACCACTTGAAGATGCAGCAACATAACATTAACTGTTGCACACTTTTCTTACCCATAATTTATTTTAGCAATGGATTAGTGTTGATTTTGCCTACACTAAAAAAAATAAATGTGTCCCATATACAGCCATGATCTTACTAGAAATAATCATGCTAGCAATTAGTTATCTCCAATGCTAATGGACATAATAATTTGCAATGGAAACTGTGGCTTGTGACAACACAGCATAACAAAGTGATCTCTCAGATACTCTCAATGTAACCATTATCCCTGTATGCTGAATATCCAAGTCTATGAAAAACCTTTTACTTTAATTATCACGTTTGTGATATCTAATGCATTTGTATCATCATCACTGAGGTGCTCCAAAGTTGAGGCCAACAGCAATAAGCAATTTAGGCCTTTAGAAATACAGGGTATTTCTAAAAATCTTACTTTCTAGAAATCTTAAGTTTCTTCTGTTAATTCTCCTTCAAGTTGCTATTTCTTTATATGAGATGGATTGAGAAAAGGCCTCATGAGGCAAAATCCCCAAGTGAAAAAAATAATCAGAAGATTTAAAGGGGTTCCAATTTTTGGATTGTTTTATATTATATACTTTTCTCCCTAGACATCAAACATAAGACAAGATTTTTTATAATATCCTACTGGAACAAATCAAATTTTTGAAGCAGACTCAGTTTCACTATGCTCAATATGTAGTGTTTTATGAAGGCCTTATAGTTCAGAGAGGCTGGAAACAGGAGCAAGTACAGAGTATCACAGGTTTCTACTATCTAACCCTTAGGTCAAAAGGGCTGAATCAATAAGTACGGAGAGTCTTACTGTTGTAAACAAAAACCCAGGGTCACTGAGCCATGTCATGTGGCCCACAGGACTGCCATGGAATCCAAGGTATGAAGCATAGCGAGGCATGCATGTCAGCTGAATTAACCCCTGCCATTCGCCCTACTGCTGTCTGCCCTGCCACTACATATGGATTCAGCAGGCAAAGAGCCGCACCATCCAGATCCACTCAGGGGGGTAGGATGTGTTTGACACCTTTATGTTAGAAGTTTCACTTCTACCAGGGAAAAAATATGACCTGCTGGAGACATTCAGCAAACCAGATTTTTCTAAGCAAAGAGCTGGTGGGGAGAAAAAATTGTCTGTCCAGAAACCTGGCAGAGGCTGACAAAATATGAAAGATAGATTGTTAACCTGTAAGAATCACACCTCTGATTGGCTGAAAACACTGCCAATCATAAATATGGCAACAGACAGCCATTCTACAATAGAAGCCTGTAGCTTGAGTATTTGAATAGCTGCTTTATAGGAATGTGACATGTTCTACTCTTAGAGGTTTATCATATTTATTTGACTAAGGTCCCCTCTACATGTTACAGGGGTATCATGAAATTAACTGGTTAACTGCTCAATTACCTTAAGACCAGTACTTATCACATGATAAGGAGTGCCAACCAGTTAAAAAGTTAGACCTCAAAAATGTGTACTAACTTTATAACTAGTTGCAATCTAGCTGAACACACCAGCTGTAATCCCCAAGGCTCAGCTCTGGGCCCACACACGCAGCCAGGTAACAAGGTATAATTGGATCTAATGCACAATCCCACAATCACATCTCCTGCCATGCATGTGGCATGGCAGGAGGTGCAATTGTGTGGATCATGCATTAGGTCCAATCATGTTTTTGCTGGCACGTGTAGAGGGTGCCTTGCTATCTAGCAAGATCTTGGCAGGATTACAAAATTCAGTTTTTATTCACGTTCACTACAAAAAGATTCCAGAAGTAGGGATTTAACTAACAACTGAAACACATCTAAAACAGTCATTTTTTTCCCTTTGTACCATAAGAAGTGACCATATCAAAAACATACTGAACAAATAATGACGAGCATGGGTACAACAGTCAAATATTGAAAGGTGCACTGATATTTTTTGGATTCATATTTTACCTTAAAAATGAAATGTCTTTAGGTCAGGAATAAAAGCAATTGTTTGTGGGATTCAGGGGAAAGGATGCAGGCCACACAATATGCAATTTATAATATTGCCTTTTTCAACATCATCAGATCAATGGAAATACAACACAATGCCTATTTAAAATGTCTTAGGAACACAGGGCTGGAAAAATATTTAGTGCTTATAAGCTTTTGTGTTCATCCAGATGCGTTTTGTGCACCAATCGTGACCATTTCAAGAGAAGAATGTATGCTAGATTTCAGAATTCTTAACTGTAGAAAGCAACTTCATTCAATACCTCTCCCTTTACTCAGCCACATGCTTATAATCTGTGGCCTCCATCAACACAAATGAAAGTGTTTTGAAGATCTCTTACCCTTTCCCATTTGATCCAAAAGATTCTGTCCACTTTGTTTCAGTTCATCTAACTTTTGGTTTTTCTCAGTCCTCTCTTTTTCTATTGCCTGCAAATTGATTTCCCCCCCAAAAAAATAAAATAAAAAATGTGCATTTCTACTGACAGTAACACTTCTTCAATAGAGCACAACACATAGTTTTGCTACTACTTGGCATATAGTCCAAGATTCCTGCAGAAGACCCAAACTGTAAACAGCAATACACAATGGAAAGTTTACTTAGTCATGTTTGCTTCAGAAAATAAACCAAAACCATGCTTCAGATTATTTCTTACAAGTACCAAAACAAGCAAAAAATTAATCTTGCGAGAATATCACAAGTAAAACGGTAATTAGAAGGGTCTAGTTGGCTGATAAAAATGAGAGGTAGAATTCTTCCGTACATCTCAAAATCCATTCAGATCTCAGAAACGTTGCCTGTAACTGAAAACTGTTACCATTTGTTGGCTGTTAAGTAAAACACACCTTTCTATATACACGTTTTATATAAAAGAAATGCAAAATTGATATGGCCAACTTTGCCAGAAGTTCTGGATGAAGATGTCTAGGAGAAAGTACCACCCTCACACCCATCCTTTACTTTCTGCCTTGGTTCCTCACAGAACATAATTAAATTCCAGAGTTTGGGGAGGATGTTCAAATTCCATGGGACTGTCCAAGGTACCCAAGGAACCACCTCCCTCTACACAATCACCCTTATATAATATCTACCAGTCAGCATGAGGGCAGATTTCTTGACCACTGGGTGACGATAAAAAAAATCTACTCTCACAATACATAGGAACAACCATAAAAATGATTTGAAATCTCACGTATTCAACCTAGATTTTTAAAAATAAATATGCTAATCATAAAAACACTCTTATTTGGAACAAGGTATGGATCTAAAGAAACTTAAATTACTTAAAAAGAAATAAACCTTTTAAAGTTTTCAAGTTTCATGCTATGGGTATGGTGTAATGAAATCCTGAACTTGCAGTAACTTAGACAGCTCCAACTAAATCATTTAGACAAAGCAGTGCAGGGAAGACTGCAACTCTGCATCTTCTTTCTAGGTAAATTGGAAACTTCAGATTTCCCAGATTCCTGTGGATTCATTAAATGGAAACACAAATATCTGCAGAGCCAAATGTCGACACTCAGAATGTAACTACTACAGTTTGGGCTTTTTTGCAGCTGAGTACACTGTCCTCTTACTGCTCATCTGGAACGTACAATTAGCTGTAAAATATATGAGTCAGGCCCTCAAAAATCAAAGGCCAAGGAAGTCCACCCACTGACTCAGCTTGACTTTGAATAAATTTAAATATGGACTAAACAACAACAGATTATAGTAAAAATAGAAACAAAGCTCCATGGTATTATCAAGTTCTCCTATTTCACGTTCAGAAAAAACATTCCTGTTGAATTCAAATGCAGGAAACACAATAATCAAAAGTGGCAAGGGAACAAAGACTTCTTTTAAAGTAAAATAACTGCTTCTTACAGGTTTCTTTAACTTGCTAGTAAAAAATTAGTCTAGGACTTTAAAGTTGAGATAGGGCCAGTTTATGTGGTGGCTCCCTTGCTTCTTAGCTCCTTCCTCCTTTCCATTCTCAGTTAGACAACTCTCCTCAATCCCAGCAATTTAGCTGAACATTCTCCTAAGCTATTCCTTCACATTCCCCTCTTTTTAATTTTCCCCACAGAGACTCCCCTCCAAGAAGGTCCCTCCTAATCCCTTTTGTGCCGTATCTCAACCTCTTCCTCTTCTGCCCTTTCAAAAACAACTTATGAGCCTCTGTCTATAACAGGGACCAACAACCTTCTCCGAGCAGCAGGCCAGCACTTGCAACCCCACTGCCACCATGGGCCACTGCTTTCTTTTACAGTAACCAAACCACCTGCTACTCCCAATTCCTGTCCCCAGTCCCAGTGGGGAGAGGTAAATTTGGCAGGAATCTGCCCTAAGGGTGCAGAGCAGCAGGAAAGACCTCTGAGGGAAGTGCTGCAGGGGCTGGAGGGCACGGTTTAAGGCATGATGCAGAGTGGAGACAATGGGTGTGCTGAACTGAGCTATAGGCTGCCAATTCCCTGTGCCACCATGGGCCAGACTGAACCTTGGCAAGCTGAAGAAAATGCCTTTGCAAGCCAGATAGAGCCTGCAACCTGTGGTCTAAAACTATATTTTTTTAAAGTATGCACCTTCCTAAGATGTATGATCATCTGTTAAATAACCTCAAGACCTCATAACTTTTCTCCTCAAACTTTTCACTCTGTTACCTCTTTCTGCTCTAGTCTTCATGCAGACCTGCAATTCATTCAAGAAACCCAAGAAAGCTATCTTACTGACTCAAATGGGTCTCCACACATAGGAGATTGAATCACAGCTTGTAAACTCTTCTGGTCAAGGCTCTGTTCTGGAAAAGGATGTACACACTTGAGCAGTTCTATTAACAATGATTTCATTAATAATAATAGCTTGAGATGACATCCTACAATATCCTTCCAAGTCTTAATGCATTTTTTTTTAACTCCAACCTTTCTGGATATTTAGGAAAATCTAATAATCCTCACGAAATTCACACATCAGTACACCAAAAAGAAATTAGCAAAACCAAAATGAAAACCCTTCTAGTGATTTGATAGGCATTCTAATACATTCAGTGATAACATTTTGAACAGTCAGAGTCCCATGTCTGTCCATCAATCTGAACCTAGTTAATAAAAGCAAGACCTAATCCACAGGAAGCTCTCAGACTAGCCTGTACCTCCAGCTGATTGCAAGCTTAAACTGACAAAATAAACTATTCACTGGAACATCCTTCAGTTGTCTCATTTTACCTTCAACTTTTCTTTCATGTTTGAAGTCTCTCTCATCTTCTTGTATTCTTTGATGTTTGTGGCCTGAATGGTAGCTTTTGATTTTGAAATCCAGTTCAACAGCTCAGCATTTTCAGCATCAAACCTGGTTTAAAAGGTCAGATGATACAATTTTTAGTAATTTTTTTCTCTGTTCAGTCATTGTGTCCTTTATTAAGTTCAGCACATTCCTTCATTAATCCCGAGAAAGCAGAGCTGTGCACACACATTCATGTACTCCCAGATTACTATCCTACCACAAATGAGCAGTGACAAAGCTCTCTGGTTACAGGCCCTTCAATAAACTATTGCAATATCATCAACTCTTTGCATAAACTCTGATGAACATGATATTATTCATATTTTTGTATCAATATTCACCTTAATGTGGATGGCTACTATTTCTGTTAGTACAGTGACCCCTTGGGCACAGCTTCCAAAGCCATAATCTCATCCTAAATTTTCTAATATAATAACAATAAAAGCAAGCTAAAAAATATGACTAAGAAAAAAGAACCACAGTTTTCCAGAGTTTCCATTCATTTAAATGGAAGCAGTAGCTGAAGAACTGTGGGACACATCCAAAAAATCACTCTTGTAGGCAGCTAAATAGGATTTACCTATTTTAAAATCACAAATAGTGATCCAAATCGAATCCCCTTTTTTCTACTTTCCAGCTGCTCCAAAACCACTTAGGCACCTCAAATCATTATGCACCTCTATTTTTGGCCTGAAAAGTTCCCTGTTTCCTAATGCTTATTGACATTGAAGGTAATCCCCAGGAGGGTCAAAGGGGGCAGGAGAGCATATAAGCCTCCGTGGCTCACTAAAAACATCCGGGAATGTCTCCTTGCCAAAAAGGAGGCTTACTCCCAATGGAAAGGAGGGGTCATCACTAAGGAGAACTATTCTACAGTTGCTCGGGGATGTAGGGGGATGGTTAGGAAGGCCAAGGCAGAGATGGAACAGGGGCTGGCTTCCCGGATTAAGGACAACAAGAAGTCCTTTTTT